GTATTTTTAAACCAATGGAATAATTTTAAAACCTAACAAACCCCCATAAAATAATTATTTAAGTTAAAAATCTAAAACTAAAAGAAAGTATTTTTGTTCAATTTTATCGACAACTTTGCTATTGCTGAATAATTTTATTAAAATGTTAGCTTAAAGATTTAAACTTTTTTTTTAATCTGAATTTTTTGTACTTGTAAATAATGAGCATATTTAATTTTTTTGTAATTCAAACTTTTATATCAACTTTTTAAAATACTTTATTAAATGTTAAAATAATCGTAAATTACTTCATTAAAATTCCGCTCAAAAATATTTTTAAATATACTCAAACAAAATTTTTTTTGCTCGACGCAAATAGCCCTAGCTACACACAAAATTGCTCTTGGACGACGTAAAATTCACATCGCCCGACGCTTTATGGCAAGGCCTGATGTAGTTTCTTTTAAGTTTTCCCAGTTAGGTCCTCTCTCATTTTAAACTATGCAAGTGACCAAGAACAGCTAATAAACTAAGCTATTTCTTTCAATAATGGTCATTCTTCAGGAATTAGAAAGTAGCCTAACAAGACACTGGTCCACTGAAGGGTGATTACCATGTATTTTACTTTTTTAATCCCATAATCATATGGTCCAACACCTTTTCCATCAAAGTGTAATATAAAGGATAATTGAATAGACAAAGTGTCTTTAAGTTTAAGTAGAGTTGTGACTTACAACCTTTGACCTGATTTAAAAATAGCCGATTGATTTGGAGTTGGAATATCACTATGGAAATAACTTAATGAGCCAGTTACACTAGCTCCTTTGTGGGTAGAGATACCAGCTTCTGCGCACATAATGGCAATTGGCATTGCCAAACCAAAAATAAAATTAGTATAAATAAAAAAAGAAAACTATTTTTATTTCCAAAAGCATTATTACTCACTTTTGATTTAAACTTCTGTTTGGGTGGTTAGAACAAAGGCCGAAAATCATCAGCGTTACCATCATTTTTAGATCTTGATTCTGTATACAGTTGCTCTACATAATCAAGATCCAGGTATATTGGTATTAAATACCTGTTAGCAGGATGCTCAACAACTGTTTGGCTGGTTAATACACAGCTCTTTCTATCATCCATTTGATGATTGTAAAAGATCTGCTCTTCTCTCTTCAACTTTATATTTTTATTAAGGATATCAAATGGCATAAAAAAATCTATATTCGATTTTTCTTAAAACATATTTTATAAGCATTCACAACTTCATTCAATTTTTTTGTGATACCAGCTGAATTCTGATGGCATGCTAAACTTCACATTCCAGAGCTGCTCCAAATCTTTTGCTATTATTTGTATAACAGCTCTTGATGGTGGTACGGGGCGTGTGTCAACTAGATGGTGATAGGAGCTAAGAATGTGCCGGACTTCTGGAATTGTCTTGAAATTGGCCAAGTATTTTATCCATTATCCATAAGATGCTGCTGAAGCAAGCAGTTCCCAAGATTCCTTTGTACACGGTGGTATTAAGTTATTTGCTTTCCTATTTAATGCTCCCTTAGCACTTATGTGGGACATATTTAGGTAAATATAATTATAACTAAAATAGAAAGTTGATTACAGTTGCTTTATTTCTACTCAAGCAATAATAGTTAAGTTTTATATTCACTATTAACTTCAGCTAATTTTAGTTAAGCTAGTTTTATATTCACTATTAACTTCAGCTAATTTTAGTTAAGCTAGTTTTATATTCACTATTAACTTCAGCTAATTTAAAAAAATATCATACAAATTATCCGAATTTTTGCATAAGTATTTTGTCTTATTTTCATAAAGTAACTTTTTTTTTTGACCTAGTAAAATTTTCAAATATTTAATAATTTTTTATTTAGTTGCTCTTAGAATACAATTATTCATGTTTTAGAAAGGGTTTTTATGACAAACTAAAAAATAGAATCACACTACTGAAGGTATGCATGATTTTCAGTAACACTTTTGACAAAAACTGATACAATAACTTTATTAATACCAGTATTTTTATACTCTTTTTTGTTGTAGTTGTAATGAATGTTTCTCCTGAAAGACTCATAACAACTTGACCACCATCTATCCTTATAGGCAGGCACATGGAAATCCTGTTTTATGGAGCCAAATTTTTGCTAACATTCTGTGCCACGATTTTTTCAACTTTTTTTAAGGTAGCATTAGACAAACATTTTTTGATGTGTTTCTTTTTAGAAACATATATAAACATAGATTATTTTTAAAAATAAGAAAGGTATAGCTTCATTTTTTTATAACTTTTATGTATGGTTACTGAACTTTTTCATTGATTTTTTTGCTCACAAAAATTTCATTGATCTTCTCATGTCAATATTTTGCCAAATTAAGGCTGAACTCAATTTTAAAACTCTATAGTCCGTTTTCTACACCTACTTTCTTTTCACATGCCAAATTTCAGGAAAAAATATTATGTAGTAAAAAATGTAGCTTACAGTTTTTTTAAAAACTCAATATTATTTTACTTAGACTATAATAATTTTTGGAATGGAAAACAAATACTTTATACATAGTAAGTTCTTTTTTTATCATATGATTACTTTAATGAAAAAAGACTAATTAGAATCTACTCAATAATATTTTAATTGTCAAATTTTATAATTTTTACTAGATGAAGATTTTACATGTTACATTTTTATAAATCATTACCCTGATTTTTTACATTTTTTTACCAATGGCACAGTAATATGTGGTAATTTACAAGCAGCTCTGTGAGCAGCATTTTGAAATGCAACAGCTATAAAACAAATATGTATGCTCAGGATATTTGGAAAACTGGACCATGGATGAAAAAGTTTTATGTATCTTCTGAGGATGCAACTTTTGATCATATAACTGGTATCCAGGTAGTAAAAGATGTTTTAGAAACTATTAGTCATTGTAAATCCAATCTGGCTGCACTATTTTGTAGAATGACTGATTTTTTTGGGAAACAGTTTCTCCCTCTCAATTACAGCATCACTCAAAGCGGAGACAACTAGTCCAAAGTTTCACAATATAGACAGTGAAGAAATAATAGATATGTTTAGTGATGCCAAAGGATGATGCCCTAATGCTACAAGTGGTTATATATCAAACAAATTAAGATCCAAAAATAATAGGACTATAAATTATCTGGATAGCTTTGAAGAATTGTATAGGCAAAAGGTAGTTAAGTGGTCTATTAACGCTGCATATAAAAATAGAATGAGAATTTGGCTAAAACATGATGAAATTCGAGAAGAGTTTTTTAACAGGCAGACCTGTAAACGCCAAAAAATAAACGAAAATAAAAAAGAAAGTTAGACCGTCAACTGTGTGTATTAACTATTAGCAAAATGAGAACTTTATACAAATACTTATCTGCCAAGCAACTTGATGATTTAGGTGATGTAATGTTAGAAAGAAATGTTGGCAGAAAACTCTGTCATGAATGGTATGATTTTGACTATTCAAAGTCTGTTATTTATTATGGTAGAGTTGAAAAAGTAAACAAAAGACAAGCAGACAGAATTTACACTATTTCTTACTGGAAACAAGATCAAACTGAAATTGAAGCAGTTAAATATTGCAAGAAAAAACTCCAGCTTGCTGCTGATGCTGTATCAAGAGAATTAGTATTTTCTTAATCTGAATATGTTTTTTAACAATGCTAGCAAATTAATATTGCAAGTTTTGCGGCTTGCAAATAGGTACAGCAATTTTTGTGGCTTGCAAATTAGTACCGCAAGTTTTGTTTGTTGCAAATAGGTACAGCAAGTTTTGTGGCAAATTTTTATGATATAAGTGGCCATGTGAAGGTATGCCAGAGCCGTCTGGCTTACCTTCATATGGTGTCTATTGTTAAAAATGATTTAATTTTGTTCATTAATGGAATTTAAAAATTAAATCATTCACTAAAAGCCAAGACAAAAGTTAATTAAATTTCATTTCAAAAAGCTTGTTGTTTTTGTATTTTTTTGAAGTTTCAAAAGTTGAAGTGGGTAATCTGTCCATTTACATGAAAAAGTGAATACTCAGAAGCATCTTATAATATGGTAAAATAGTTTTTGTACTAATTTCTCTCTGTTTAAAAAAGCATTTAAACATTTCCGTAAAATTGTCATTAAAATTTTTAAACCTTACCCAATACCCAACACCCGACATTTTGATACCAATTTATAGATATTTGAACAAGAATTCGCAAAGTTAAAAAAATTTATGTGAAAATTTTTTTTTTCTGACCACAGTTTTATCAAGAAATCTATATATCGAAAATTTGCTACTGAAAATGTCAAAACTTTTTATAGAATTGTTCGATTTTCATAAATTATTCACCTTTAAAATACTGTATTTGAGGGCTTTCTAATGATATATAACATTCAAGTATTTGATCAATTTAAAAAAATTAGTCCATGTACCTATTATAGAAATAATAACTTCATCCAAACCTAGTCATCTAATAGTGCAAATATGATCATATTATCTATATTTACTAAAAACTTTGATTTTATGAATCATAATATTATTGAATAAATTTTCTTGTCTAAGAAAGTAAAAAAAAAAAAACTTACACAAAAATATTAGGCTTTAACTTTAAAGGGGAGGGGGACAAATTTTATTGAATAAATTTTCTTGTCTAAGTAAAAAAAAAACTTACACAAAAATATTAGGCCTCGACTTTAATAGGGAGGGAGACAAATTTGCTTTAAATCCCTCAAAATTTGATTTTCTTGTCAAGATGTTCACCAAACAATTCGTTCTCTCCATAGATTAGTTTGTTTTTAGTTCTTAATATCATGAAATTAAATTTTCTGAAGTAATCAAATTTTCAACCTGAACATACTACATCTGACTAGTAATGTTTTTATTTTTATTTTTTTATTGATTTGTTCTCATCTTCTGTATATAAATAAATCAACAACAACAACAACAACAACAACAACAAAACATAATACACATTAGTCAAATAAATAAAAATCTAATGTTAACAAAAAAAAACTTACTGCAAACCAGGAAAATTCGTCTTTTGTTATATTTAATCTTGAATCATTTTCTATTGCAACTTCAGTAGGAGAGGTGTAACCAATAGCAAATCCAAAACAAAGTGATGCTAATGATGCAATAAGAGCAGCAAAAAAAGCTGTTATAAAACGTTCTTTTGTAACATGTTTATCGCTATTAATAATTGAGATTGTCAGCTCTTTATCTTCCATCTAAGCAACTTTGCAACTTGGTATAGTTAAAAATTGCCTAGGTTATATAATACGCAAGACAAAATACTTTACAGTATTTTATTTAAAATTAGTTTATAAAATAGAAAACCCCAGTTGATCAGTGACTAAATCTGATTTCGGGAGAATCACAATTTGTTAAATAAAAATTTTTAAGCTACAAATAAATAATTTTTTTATTTTTTATATTTAAAAAAAAAACTCAACTGTTAACCAAAGTTATGTTTCGATAACTTTACATTGCGAAATCTACAGTAAAGACTCGTTATTCGGTAAATTATTTGATTTCTAAATAGTGACATTTGAAGAATAAAAAATTTACAAATTTTGATAATAAATCCAATTTAAAGTCTTTAGCGGTCAAACCTACTGATTGAATACTAAGTTTGCTTGATACTTATTAATAGTATTATAAATAAGAAATGTTAAACATCCCTTTGAAATCTATTTGTTATTCAAGACGACGAAATTATTTCCGTCCAAAAAAGCTATAGAAAAAAACAAAACAACGACTTTGCAGCTATCTGCCTAGACAGACAGGCTTCTACAGTTAAAAAAAGAAAAGAAAATGCAAACAAGTTTGCATTTGATAGAAAAGAAATTGTATACAGTTCCATTTGAGGCGAACGGGAGGTGCCAACCGGTCAAGAATAAATAAATTTAAAAAACGTTGATAGCATGAATTATAAAAATTGAAAAAAAAAACAAAAAACAATTAATTATTTTTATTCAATTTTTATATCTTGATTTTTTTTTTTAACAACAACAACAACAAATCAAATCGAATTAAATGCATTCTGAATAAAGTTGTTACATCAAGGATATTTGCAAATAGTAATATCTAATAGGATATTTAAAGTATTAACCCAGTGGGCAAGCGTCGTCCGGCGGACGTGCAATAGACGTCTTACGGGCGTCTAGACATCCATGAGACGTCTGATGGACGTCTCCCAGACGACGCGTACCCAATAATAATAAAATGGAGATAATAATAACTATTATAATACAATTAGGTGTAATAAAATTAATAGTAGTGATAATAGCAGAGTTGTTAGACCCTGGCCTTTACCTTGACCTTGGCCTTGCCTTAAGGCCAAATATTGAGACCTAGGCCTTGGTCTTGGCTTTAAAACTGTTGGCATTGGCCTTGGTCTTGGCATTGAATATATTGACCTTGGCCTTAAAAATTTTAGCCTTGATTGTTTCGGCCTTAGCCTTAAAAAAAATACACGTTTTTTCATTGATTTCATTGAATTCTGCCTATAACCTTGGTTTATTTTTTTAAAAAAGTGGTTTTATTGTCACAGCACTTGCTACTTACAGTTGTTTTAATAAATTGGCCTTAACGTAAATCAAAAGTTTAAGCGTTTGGTCTTGAAAATGTTTGCATAGGCTTGGCCTTGAAACTCTTAATCTTGGCCTTGACCTTGTAACGCATGGCCTTGGCCTTGTCCTTAGCCTTGTAACGCGTGGCCTTGGTCTTGGTCATTAACTTGCAACGCGTGGCCTTGGCCATGTAACTTTTGACCTTGGTCTTGATCTTGACCTTGTAACGCGTGGCCTTGGCCTTGGTCTTGATACTTTTGGCCTTGTTAACAACTCTGGATAATAGCAATTAAAAAATGTTTAAGATTATAAAAAGTATATATTATACTATAATAATAGCAATAATAATAATAATAATAATAATAATAATAATAATAATAATAATAATAATAATAATAACAATAATAATAGTAATAATAATAATAATAATAATAACAACAATAATAATAACAATAATAATAATAATAATAATAATAATAATAATAATAATAATAATAATAAAAATAGTAAGAAGAAGAATATTTATTATGATAAAAAGTAAAGTAATAATAATATGATAAAAAGTAAAGCAATAATAGCGGTGAGGAGAATACTAATGAAAATATTTCAGTTAAAAAAGTTTAAAATAAAAAATTTAACAGAAAGCATTAAAACTAATATTATAACATAACAGAAAAAAGAAAAAATACTATATAAATAAAAGCTCAGAGTTAGGGTTATAAATAATAAGTTGCAGAAAGGTATACGATTTATAAACAACATTTTTCTAAAAAATAGTTAAAGAAAGCAGTTTTAAATTTTGAGAATGATTTAAGAGATATTAGTTAGGAGGGAAGATTGTTCCAGGTTTGTATGCTTTTATGTTGTATGGATTCATAGCTGTAATGAACAGTTCGATATTTAGGTACAGATAACTTAAAGTTGTAATAAAGTTGTAATGTAATGTAACAGATAACTTATAGTAATAATTTTCCCAATAACTAAAAAAGTGTATAAATGTATAAGGTAGGCTATTATGATTTTGGTTTCAAACAAATAGGTAATTTGATAGCTGAATAAAGTCACATAGTTTAAGGAATTTAAAAATATAATAGAGTATCCTTCAGTTTGAATTAGTATGTTGGAAATAAATTACCTTTATAACTTTATTTTGGAGATGCAAGCTACTTAGATTGTCCACAAACTTGACAAGCGTATCTGAGATGAGAGTGAAAAATAGCATGATATACATCAAGCAAAGTTTCATGATTGACAGATTTTAGCTAACATGCCGTTTGATCTGTTTAATGTTAATAATAAGTCTTAAAGATGCTATGCAAAAGATAAGAGTCTATTTTGATTCCAAGATATTTAATAGATTTGACTGGATTTATATTTTGCCTTAAGCTAAAATTTAATTGCTTATTCATTTTTGTTTGAACAGATTTAAAATTCTTAAAACTGAGCCTTGTAGAACACCGTTAAAAGATTTAAAAAGTTCTGAGTTGATACCATTAGTTAAAACTAACTTTGATCTATTACAAAGATAGGAGGTAAGCCAGAGGAAAGGAATACCTCTAATGCCGTAGTGTTGCAGTTTTTCTAAGAGGATTTTGTGCTTAATTGTATCAAATGCTTTTATGTTAATAAACACTCCACACGCAAAGTCTAGTGTTTATTGACATAAAAATTACCTTTAAAGCCTCTGGAAAAATACCATTTTTAAAAGAGTTATTCCTCATAGTATATAGAGTTTTGAAGATAATATGTGATACCAGCTTTAGGTGAAATGTTGGAAGGCTATTGGGACCAAGGCTTTTATTATCTTAAAGAGTACCTTTTGTAAGGTTCAACATCTCATCTTCGGTCACGTTATCAATGAAAGAAGAATTAGTACTTAGTATTAGAGAAAGTTGCTAAAAACACATTTAAAAGGAAAAGTATTTTTTAATCGTTTCTCTTGAATATAGAATATAGTTGCATAATAGTTATTAAATATATTAGCAACACTGGTTCTGAGACATGTCAACTGGTTCTGAGATATTTATTGACTTAGTATTAGTAGAAGGTTTGTTAATGATTTCCTTAACTCCTTTCCAAGTATTCTTTATATTATTAAGGTTGTTGTTAAAAAAAGTATAGTACGATTTTTTAGAATATTTTAACAAACTGCCAATTTTATTTCTGTTTAACTTAAATTCAGTAAATTATAGATTTTTGGTATTTACATTTTTTAAGCTAATAAATGTTTTATAAAGTATGTTTTTATTAGAAATAGATTAGTACTACCAGAAATTTTTTATTTATTTTTTATTTATTTATTACGGTAATCAATACAACTTCTTGATTGAATTGATAAAGGGAACCACACCAGGCTTTCCTATGCTGACAATGGACATTGCTGCAGCCGAAGCAGCATTTTAAACGTGTTTTTTAAAAAAGTGCACAGTGGGTGCATCAAATATATTCTGAGCTAACTTGTTCCATCGGTTAGTAACTCGGTTTGTAAAGAAGTGCTGACTTTCCGAATTTCTTTTGATCAGTTGTCGTTTTAAATATCGGCTGTTTATTCTCAGATTATATCGTGAATTTAACAAAAAAGGCTGTATTCGTGGTATGTAAAATTTAACTTCTTGTAACTGATGAGCAATTTTGTATTGCAGTATAAGGTCACTACGAATTTTGCGTTCTTCCAGCGTGTTTAGATCTAGTAGTTGTAGTCTTTTTTTGTAATTAAAATGTTTAATCGACGATATAATTTTTGTTGCACGTTTTTGCACACGAACGCGAAGGACGATTTCCGATTTAAGGTGTGGAGACCAGGCTTGTACACAAAACTCTAGATGCGGTCGAACGTATAACTGGTACAATTGCTTTCAAAGCTGGAGGCTACGGCATTGAAATGTCTTTTTAAGGCGACCAAGGATTCGATTTCCGGCCAGCCAGCCGGCCAGCTGCTGCTTCTACTTGTACTTTCACTTTGAGGTTGTCGGATATTAGTACCCCAAAGTCGCGCTCAATGCATGTTAGAGATTATGTTGGTTACTGTTGATGTCAGCCATGGTATAGAAATGTGTTGATTTATTTTTGCGGCAACCAATGTGCATTACTTTACACTTCTCGATGTTGAAGTGCATAAGCCAGTTATGTGACTAACTTACAACGCTGTCAATGTCCGTTTGCAGTGTTTCATAATCAGAGCATGATTGATTATTGTTTATAACTCCTATGATCTTGCTATCATCAGCGTATAACTTGGTATAATTGCTAATGCCATCTGGATAATTATTGACAAAAAGCACAAACAGAATCTTGTGAAGGAGTCTTTTGTGTGATACTGTGTCAAAAGCTTTGGCAAAGTCTGTAAATATTACATCAACAATGTGTCCACAGTAAGCTGCCTCCGTGAGAATGTCATGGGATTCAATTAAATTTGTAAGACAACCTCTGTGATTTACAAATCCATGCTGAGATTTTGAAATTAGATTGTTTAGTGTACAGTGTTCCATAATCCTCTCTTTTATAATTCTCTCCATTACCTTGGACGGTACATAGGTAAGAGATACCGGCCTATAATTACAAACCTTGAAAATGAGTGAAAGAGGTATTACAAAAGCTTTTGCGCAGTTTTTTAGAACACGAGGATGTACTCCGTCAAGTCTCATCGATTTAGTTTTGTCAAGGCAGAATAAGTAGTTTTTTACTGTAGCAGCTGTAAACAAACTTTCGTCAATTTCGCAAGTTGATTTTGTTCTTTCTTTAAATATTGGTAAAGGTATTGGGGGTTCTTCGACAATAAATGAATGAAAATAATTGTTTATCGTTAATTGGTTTAGATTGAATAACCCAGTTATCCTGGGTTTAGATTGAATAACCCAGTTATCCTGGGTTATATTTTAATAACTTAGTTATCCTGGGTTTAGATTAACCCAGTTATCCTACGTTAAAATTGAAGTTTGATTTATTTATTTATTTTTTTAAATTCTTTTTAGAGAGCATATAGGTCTAATACTTTTTCAAATGTTTTAAGGGAAAAAAATATATATACTTATTTTTGTCATTGTCTTCTTTTATGAGAAGTATCGGTTAATTTTAGAAATTTCTTGGACAAAAAAACCAGCATCAAATTTTTTAGAGCTTCTTATAAATGTTTTTTTTAATGGTTGGATTATTAGGAATACGGACATATTGCACCATGTGGTCAGAGATTGAAATTGTAAGATTACCAAAGCATCTCAGAAGAAAATAAATTCAAGAAAAACTTCAATGATGCTTAAAGAGAGATGTTGATATCCAAAAATGGTAATACTCTTATTAAAAGTATTACCATTTTTGGATATCAACTTATAAATTTTATACAAATTTTGAAAATACTCCAAAATCTAATAAAAAAATCAACAAAAAAACAAATGCGGTTAAAAGGGTATGTCCGGATTTTTGGTGTTCAAGATAGGTAACTTTTAGAGACAGTACAAACTTGAAAGTTTGTAAAACTGATAGTGGATTCATATAATAATGTTACTCATAAAGTTATAAATCCACCAAGTGGATTAATAACTTTAGGACTTTTAAGTGGATTTATAAATTCAACAAAAACAGACAATATTATGCATAATATCGATTCATATTACAATGTTACTGATGATGATGAATCGATTCATATAATAATATTACTCATATATGAGTAACATTATAATATAAATCCACTATCAGTTTTACAAAAGTTTAAGTTTGCACTGTCACTGAAGGTTACCTATCTTGAACCCCAAAAATCCAGGACATACCCTTTTAACTGCTTTTTTTTGGCAGAATATTTTCAAAATTTAGATTATAACTGTACAAGATATGGTGGTTTCAAAAATGTAATCAGTTTTTGGTGTACTTTTTTTTTTGTTTGAAATCTTTCTACTAGTGTGTGCACAAGTAGTAATCACTTATGTTAAGTAATTGGCGCCATATAAAAATTATCTTTGTACGAAATCTGATCTTGGCTAGAAACTATTTAAAATATTGAAATTGAAGAAGAGTGTTACATATCTCTTCAGCAAATTGCATTAGGTCGGAACTTTCGACTTTTGGTTTAAGATAATCTTTAATCGTCTAAATAAAAGAACGCTTTTTTCTATTGTTAACTATTGAGTATATATTAACATAACTGTTAATATATATTTAAAAAATCTCATTGTTTCTCGGGGGATTTTTTCAAGATTAGGTAACACCATGTACATTATTAGAACATATCTTTTTAAAACTGACATTAGAAATGTAAGATTTTTTATGCTGTTTAAACCATTGTTTAAATGAGTATCTGAATATATATATATATAATATAGGACCAATTTCATTGTTTAAATGAATATCTGAATATATATATATAATATAGGACTTTAACTTTTTATGTTCATAGTAATATATATAATAATAATAAAATCGTTAAAAAAAAATATGGATGATCAGAGCCTAATGTCAATATTACCGTAAAATTAAGGTATGCAGATCAAACTGTGGGTGTTTGTGTGTAAAAGTTTTTATAATTTTTCTTAAAAAATGGTTTCCTTTCTTAAAAAAAAAGTTAAAAGGAGGAGGTTAGTAAAAAATCAATTGAAAGATTCTGTAACAAAAAAGAGGAAACGTACTAAACGACCCTTCCCCTGGGTCTTCGCCTATGAAACAATTATAACATGGAATCTCACCAAGACTAAATAAGTGCTGAAAGTATAAGAGCTGTAGCTAGTTTGAAAGGAAGCGAAAAATAAATCGCTAAATTCAGTGAGAACTGACTACGGCCAAAAAGAAATTAAATAAAAAGTGTTATATTATGGGAATTTTTAAAATAAGATTTTTATTTGTGGGAATATAAATTTTGTAAAAAAAAAGGGTGTTTTATTTCTGCTAATCCAAAGGCAATAAGCAACCGAAAGTCGCTTGATATATAAATGTATACCTGACAGGAGGCTATAGCCCCCTTTTTTTTAATGATCTTGCTTTTGGTCCCTTCACTTTGAAGATTTTATTTTAACCCTAATGTCAAACGATAGCGATCTACACGATAATTCTCGTGTAACAGATGAGAACAATGTAACTATATTGAATTTATCTTTAATTATTAACTATATTGCATTTTCACTACTAAGCTTGAGAAAAAGGTGTTTATGCATTAATAAAAGAATTAAACTAGAAAGAAAAAAATTGGCCCGTGAATCTCTTTTTATTAAACTGAATAACGATTGACTTTATTTCTAACTTATGAAGCAAGGGGACGACTGCAACAAGGCTTCTTTTAAAAGTAAGAACGATGGGGAGGAATATATATGCAGTATAACCCTGTTAACTCGGTCCCAGGATAAGTCGGACATTTACTCGTCGGAAAGTTTTTCAATTTTCCTTGAACGTTCTATGAATACCAAGACATTCCCTAAGTCGTACTATTTATTTATTCCCAACTTAACGGGATTTTACTGTATATATATATATATATATATATATATATATATATATATATATATATATATATATATATATATATATATATATATATATGTATATACATACATGTGTGTAAATACTTGAAGAATCATTTAGCAACATTTTTTTTATAATTGAATAATAAATGATAAAATTATATTTTTTGATTTTTATAACATGTTATACAAATCAATAAATATAATTTTATTATTTAATTATTTAAACGGTTAACTGTTAATTTCTTAAATATATCTTAACATAAAATCTTTCGCGTCTTTTTGGTAACTGCACATTCCGGAATGCTCCTTCCGTAAGGAACTATTTCGTAAGTATTCTTACGAAATGATTTTACGGAATTTTATTTATTTGTATTTTCGTATAGTGCGTCATGGAATGTGCATTTTCACATTTGCAACATCCGCAAAAACAATTCTATTAGGTTAGATAAAGCTGCGAAATTTCCGCAAGTTTTGTTTTTCGGCTAACAACCCTAAAATGGAAACAAAAAAGCACCAAGAAATCTAAAGCCCCGCCTCTAATTATGATCGGTAAGTGTAAATACATAGAAATATACATTAATATATGGAAGAAGCATATAAATGGCATAAGTTAATAGAGATAAATAAATAAAATTAATAGTAACACAAATTTTTTTTGACAAAAAAGAGACTTACTATAGACAAAAAGCATGCAAAAAGCATCACAAAAACATAACGAACTGCAAACAACATGAAAACAAATTGCGATTCTCAGTTAATTTATTAGTCAAAAATCAATAAATTAAAAGTAAAATTTGCTAAAATGTTCATCTAAAATGTAACAGAGCGTGATTTGTATCATTTCACAAGAGTATTGCCAACATACTGATATGGTCATGTTAACTGTCAACTTTCACATAAGAGGATTCTTTTTGCTTCCCGTAGACCACTTAAATAAGCACCTGTTACTGTCTGTGGAAATTGTCGATTTGTTACCTAGCATATATATGTATAAACAAATTAAAATAAAAATTATTAATAATATACAGGGAAAAAGATGTAACTGTCATGTTAAAGTCCTACCTCTCCAGCAAAGAATAAATTGTTGCCGACAGGTTTAGCAACAATATCGTAGTCATCACCCGAGCTGCCGACTTTTACATAAGAATAAGCCATTTTACTATTTATGTCAGTCGCCCAACTGCTCATTACATAAGCTGTAGGTTGCGGTACAATCTACATATATTTTATAATTAAGTTAAAAATAGTAAAATCAAATATATTCAAAATAAATTGTTACCTCAAGGATATTTACATATAGTAATAAAAATAATATAATATAACAATAAAAATACTATAATATAACAATAAAAACAATATAAAAATAATTATAACAATAATAACAACAGTAAGAATAACAATATTTATCAAGATAAATATAAACAATAAGAGCGATGAAGAGAATAATAAAAATATTTTAGTCTAAGAAAGAAGAATAATATAGCAAATTTAATAGTCGCGGGGTAAAGCATAAGTGGCGATGACGTTTGTCTGACGGGATAAACTAGTTATAAATGCTGATCCTCATCGAAACGCCAGTAATAATAGACGCGACTCTGAGATGTTTATTACTTAATCACTACACTAATTATGTTTACACATTAGCATTACTGTTTTTTTTCCATTATTAGTCCTTTCATTGTTGATTGGCATATTTTTAATTTGTTGAATGGTTTTTTGTTTTACAAATTTTTGACTGGTTATGTATTTCTTGTATATTTTAGTTCATATAGGTATTTATAAAACATTTTTTTATTTTTATTTTATATATATATATATATATATATATGTGTATATGTATGTATGTGTGTATGTGTGTATGTGTATATATATATATATATATATATATATATATATATATATATATATATATGTGTATATGTATATATATGTATGTGTGTGTATGTATATATATATATATATATATATATATTATTATTATTATTTATTTTTAATTTTTTTTTTTTTTTTTTTTTTTTTTTTTTTATTGTTATTATTGTTGAGTACTGTTTTAATTGTATAGCCTGTCTTATTTATTTTTAAATATTCCTCTATTAATCTTTACGTGAAACACTAAAGTAAATGAAATACTTAAAACTTTCAACAACGCTTCCGGTAGGAAAAAGATAGCTAGATAAGAAAAGACGTGTTTAAATTGTCTAAAACAAGTATTCTACGTACTTTATACTTGATATCTAGTTGCCAGCTCACTTCCCACTAGGTTTGGTAGGAAATGAGCTAGCAACTAGCCAGCGAACAGCTAGCTAGTCGCTACCTGTGGGTAAAAGACGCGTTTAAGACGTATAAAATACGTAGAATACTTGTTTTAGACAATTTAAACACGTCTTTTGTCATCTAGCTATCTTTTTCTTATCGGAAGCGCTGTTTGATCGTGACTGGAAGTTTTAAGTATTTCATTTACATTCGTGTTTTCATTAAATAATGAAGCACCAATTTAAAATATTATCATTACGTCACTCGCTTTAATGTAGAACGCCTGTTTGAATTTTGCACTAACGTAAATATGAAAAGTTTCGGTAATGTAGAAAGTGGGGCGTTTAAGTAACTGTGATCAACAGTTGTGCATTAGGCATGGGATTCAACTAGGTATTCAAGATGTTTTGTACAAAAAATCGTCAATTTCTGCAAAAAAAAATTGAAAGTAATATGCAATAACAGAGAAAGTGACGAGGAAATACTGATGACACAAACAAAACCAATAATGATGAAGACTTTTCCGGCGGGTTTCAAGTTGTAATGAGTGAAGAGAATGACTCTATTGACTGACTGATGATATGCAGCCGTTAATCAAAAAGGTGCGCACCGTTGTGAAATTTTTATTTTTCCGTTCTCCGACAAAAAATGATCAAAATTCAAAAACGCACGTTAGAAAAATTTGATAAAGATATTCCACTAATACTTGGATCCAAAACTAGCTGGATTAGCTTGCACACAGTACTCGAACGTTTTATATAATTGAAAAAATGCATTCACGAGTCACTTTTTGCCCTTGAGTCCAAAGTTGAGGTAACTAATAATGATTTCGATGCAATATTAGCTGTTAACTTATGTCTTGCGCCAGTAAAACTGGCTGTGGAAACATTGTGCCAAAATCATGCAATTCTGTTGTGTGCCGATACAACATTTTCATGATAGATAACCTTGGAGAAACCGATTTAGCTGTAAAGTTATGTTGGTGCAACAATTCAATGAGCAACGTACTCTTTTTCCAGCATACAACATTTTTTGCACAAGGGACATCAACGTTACAAGAATTTGGATCTAGCTCTATCTTTTGAGCACCATAGCAAATTAGCCATTGTAAATACCATTACTCGACTGAAAGATCGACTCAATCAAAAAGGGTATAGTCCTCTCCCTTTCACCAGCGTTTTTTCCGATAGTGATTCTGTGGACAACGCTGTAAACTTGTCATTGAAAAAAAAGCTTGACTTTGCAATTTAAAAAAATAAGAAATGTAACAAGGGAAAATTGAATGTTTCGAATAATTCATCAAAAATTATATGTATTGAAATAGGAATTTTTGAAGAAGGAGGAAATCGTTGAATATATTTGCAAAATTCCTACCATTACTTGAAAACTGTGAAGCCAACAAAATTAGAGTATCTTTTGAAGATGATGTTCTGAACGCCCTATGTTTTTTACGGGCTCATTTTACTAAGCAGAAAAAAGCGAAAAATGAAAAAGTCAGTAGTTTTGATATAAAACAAATAAGCTGATTGAATCAAAAATTTTTTTACTATTAACTTGAGATTTTATTTAGATTATGATGAATTTAAAAATAAAGTTTAATACCGGTATTACCGGTATTGTAATTATTTAGTACCGATATACCGGTATTGAAAAATGGTATCGGTATTGGAAGCACTAGATATATAAATTAGTATTATAACACAACAGAGAAAAATATTAGATAAATAGAAGATAGAGTTATGGTTATAAATAATAAGTTGTAAAAAGGTATAAAATTTATAAACAATATTTTTTTGAAAAATAGTTAAAGTTTTAAATCATGAGAACATTAAGTTGGGTAAAAACAAGTAAAAACAAACATTTCATTATGGTAAACTATATTATATGCCCAAAAATGAAGCTATTTAGAATAATAACCTATTATTAATTCGTTATGGATAATTACTAAATCCATTTAGTAAACTAAATTAGAAGTTTTTTTTGTTGACTAAATTCCATTTAGTCAACAAAAAAACTTATTTTCTGGTACCGAGCAATCAATACGTTTTTCCTAAAGCATTTCTTATTTTGATTTCAAATGTGCAACTCATTTTTCACCATCACGTCAACTAGTGAAGATATTTTGGTTCAAATTTTAAGCATTTGGGGTAAAATCCCTAATATTGTCAAAAAAAATTTATTTAGAAGTATGTTAGTCTGGATCTAAAAAAAAGGATATTTTCATAGAGATTTTAGAAAACATAAATATTTTTTAAAATCCTGTTTCTCAAAAATGTTTCTCAGCAATAATATAAAAAAGATTTATTTTTATTACGAATGGATATTGTTTTTACAATCTCTGTGAAAATTCGCTTCTTGTGAGACCCAGGTTGACATACATTTGAATAATTTTTTTTGTGACAATATCAAAGATTTATCATAAACACTAAAGATTTGAGATGAAATCTTTACAACATGATGGTGAAAATGAGATATTTGAAATTAAAATAAGAAATGCAATAGGAAAAACGTATTGTTTGCTCAGCACCAGAAAACAATTTTTTTGTGGGCCTGTGTTATCAATAGATAAAAAAATAACATAAAACCATGTATATTGAAACTATGATTAATAGGGTAGGGGAGACCGGGGCTAGTTGGCTCGGTTTTTACTCTATGAGCTCTGTAGCCCTAATAGCACACTTTTTTGAAAATATTAAAGTGTAGTCTCAAAGCGTATGAACTTGGGTAACTTATAAAAGTTTCATGGATTTACAAAAAAAAAATTCTTGGGGCCTTACGGGGCCCTCAAAAAAAAAAAAAAAATTGCGCCAACTTACCCCACCACGGGGTAAGTTGACGCAAACTATAAACGTGATTATTAATGTACTATTAAGTGCAAAATTAATAGAAATTTTTTACCTATTAATTTTGGCAACAATTTAAGCTAATAATTTGATATTATTTTTAGCTTATGCTAAATATTAGTACGTATAACAGCCAAAACAGCAGCCCTCTTTTTACCTGTTACAAAAAACCTAAAAAAAAAATTTTTATAATTTTTTTGTAAGAATAAGTTTTTTCAATATTGTTAAAAATTAAAAAAATTAAAAAAATTATTTTTATAAAAATAAATATTTTTCTCCATAGTAAATGCTATGAGCCAACTTACCCCGTAAAAATTTTGTCAACTTACCCCGAAGGCTTTTTTTTCAATAAACAGTCTATAGATCCTGAAAAACGGCAACTTTTAAAAAAAGTCAAACTGAATATAGTAAACCAATTGTGGCTAGAACTTTTACAATAATTTTTTTTCCATTTGACTAACTATTTTCTTTGTAAAGTAAAAAGGAAGCGATGTTTCAAAAGTTACGTTTTTGTCCAAAAAACACTTAAATCTTAATATCTCCCATGCGCATGCGCGAATCCTGACAATACTACATTGAATGATGAAACAGTCAATTAGGAAGATTCTGTGTAATTTTTATCACTTTCTGATGAAAGGCTTTAAAGATAAACGCAATTCGTCAACTTACCCCTGCGGCCAACTAGCCCCGGTCTCCCCTACATTTTAGACAAGTAAAATTTTACTATTCAGAATTCTAGGATTGATATTCGGACAAATCATTCGAATAAACTCACGGTATAATAAAATAAATCAAATTATTCGAATAAACTCACGGTATAATAAAATAAATCAAATTATTCGAATAAACTCACGGTATAATAAAATAAATCAAATTATTCGAATAAACTCACGGTATAATAAAATAAATCAAATTATTCGAATAAACTCACAGTATAATAAAATAAATCAAATTATTCGAATAAACTCACGGTATAATAAAATAAATCAAATTAGGTAGAATTAACATAAGCTTATATTTAAATAATAAAAATGTTTATTTTAGAAGTACTTAATAATAGAAGTTATTTAAATAATAACCTCTTAAGTCATATGAAGTACAACTATTTCTTATTATAAGACTTGTGGTATAACTTTATATTGACGATGGATGAAAATTTGAGCGAGGTTATTCAGTTGGAAAAAAATGTTCCTGAAACCAATAATGTATTTTTAAAATATATGAGGCTATAAAAATGTTAAGATTTTAATCACAAAGACCTAAACTTTTAAAAAAGTCTAAACTTTTTGATGTCTAAACTTTTTAAACCGTTCCTTAAAACGTTTTGGCATTATGTTTTCTTGCAATTAACTCTTTTTTAGTGAGAGATTTTTGTTTCGCCGAGAAACCATTGTTAAGTCTAATTTTTTTTAACCGTTCATTAAAACGTTTAACATTATGTTTTATTTCAATTAACTCTTCTTTAGTGAGAGATTTTTGTTTCGTCAAAATATCATTGATAAGTCTAAATTTTTTTAACCGTTGATTAAAGCGTAATTTTATTTTGTTACAATTGCCTCTTCTTTAGTGATAGATTTTTGTTTTCTGTAAAATGCAGTAATGTATATCGTTGCTTATTTTGGTAGCAGCAGATCTTGTATTGTGAAGCCTTTATCAATTAATAAACTGTTACCAATTTTAAAGACGTGAAGAACAAAGACAAAATCCCACATTGTTGAAAAATCGTGAGATCAACAATGCTTCCCTCATAAAAGTCTGAAACAAAACAAGCAGCTCCATTAGAATTTACAACAATTAGACATTTCATGGTACAATAATGCTTATATGAATAATAGCTATTGCCCTGTGTATGCATTAATTACCTATATGCATTAATTTATTTTAGATATAAAAATAATATTTTTTAAAAATGCCAATACGAAATGGGAGAAAAGAAAGCTGGAGAAAGTATCTGAAGTTGAAAAAAGTAAAAAGTTTTTTTGTAATGCTTTGCATAACAACAAAATAGAGTGAGTAAACCTCTATTTAAAACATTGCCAAAATTTGAGTTTTTCATAAACTGTTCAAGTCTTAAAACTGTTCAAAACAGGTGACAATCTTAATCTGTCAAAATATTTGAATAAAAATAATTTCCAAATAATGATTTAATTTACTCCAGTTATCAGGACAATCATCTCAAGTTATCACAAGTTTTTTTTCACAAGTTCTTTGGCATCTGTTAGTTCTGACAACACTTTGTAAGAATCAACAGTTGATGTCATCATACACAATATCAACTAATATAGAACAGAAAAAAAATATTGGTATATAAATAGCAAACTTTTCTCAGGTGCAAATGTATCATTTAAAACTTCTGAAAATCAAGAGTTTATATATGATGGATGAAGAAGTGTTACGATCAATTTATTGCTAACATTTTATATGAAGGACTTACGCCTAAACTTTTATGCATAAATGATTGTGCATCAAATAAAAAAAAAAGCAAAGTATTGTACTAAACTCTTTTGGAATGTCACTAAATATCATAAGGAAACATACAACAAAGAAGTATTTGTTGTGGTAACAGATGGTGAAAATAAGATGAAAAAAATGAGAGATTAAATTAAAGAAACATATCCAAATATGGGTGTTCTGCACATTATTTAAATTAAAAAAAAAAAAAGAAACACACTCAGATGTCATTAAACACATGGTTGAACTGTATAAATATTTTTGCAATACACATCAACCACATGTAAACATTAAGCTCGGACGAATTTTGAATTCGACTCAAAAAAATTCGACTAAATTCGGAATTCGAGGTCAATTTCGAATTCAAATTTTGTCAAATTTGAGATCTGAATTTGAATTCGATTTTTAATTTCGAATTCTGATTAATTGGATATAAATTTGATAAAATTTGAAATTCAAATTTGAGTTTCGAATTTTATCAAATTTGGAATAGAATTAAAATAGAGTCTAAAAAACATTTTCTTAAGCAATTATAAAATAACTCCATGCGCTGCAACAAAATGAGCTTTGTAATCAAATTCTAAAACATTATTGGCTGATTCTATTTTTGCGCGTAAAAATTATGCTTTTATTGGGCGATACAGAAAAATTGAACACTTTCAAACGTAGATGTTACAATGAAAAATTTGTAATTTAATGAAAAGATTGCGTGATCAACTAAAAAATTTAATGCAACAACTTTTAAACTCATTCTAATGAATTATGCGATTTCCTTCTTGCGTAAATAATGTCCAAGAGAATTGTAGTGTTGCAATCATTATTACATCTCCAAAGAGAAAATCGTATATAATTGTCCATCGGGAATTGTAAATGTTACAACCATTACATTATAAATAAAAGCACTTATAATTTTACTTATTGAAAAGACGAGTTCAATTTTAAACTAAAATTAAGCTAAAATCAAGTCAACATGGTTAAAAAAACTCACCAACCATGGTGTTATTTTGCAAAAATCCAAGCTCTTAACGAAGAGGACAAGAGTAATCCCAAGGTAATTTGTCAGATCAAAGTGCCCGCAGGGACAGGACCAATTTGTGGAAAGGTTCTGTCCACACCTAACTCAAATACTAGCTCCATGAGAACTCATATTAGGTCTTTACATCCGGAACAGGCCAGAGCAGTTATTTTATTCGAGGCAGCATGGTATCAAAAAAGACTAAAT